ATTCTCCCTCTCTGCCTACGGTTTACCGGGCAGTTCTATTTGACGATATATATATATATATATATATATATATATATATATATATATATATATATGTGACGATATATATGTGTGTGTGTGTGTGTGTGTGTGTGTGTGTGTGTGTTTCCCTTCCTCCTTGGTGTGAGCCACAGAGCGAGTTATGGTGATAGATTTGTTTACGGGGGATGGCATGCCATAGAACTTGTGTCTATATATGGTGCTACTACTGGTAGTCTACTACGTTATTTTATTTATTTATTAACACTGTGAACATCGTAAAGGGTGTTTGTGTTGTTTGAGAATTCTTTTTCCTTCTACTTCTTCTCTCTTTATCCACGTACTAGAGAGAGAGAGAGAGAGAGAGAGAGAGAGAGAGAGAGAGAGAGAGAGAGAGAGAGAGAGAGAGAGAGAGAGATGAGCACGGTAGAGAGAGAGAGAGATGAGCACGGTAACTGTTAATGGTAGCGTCTTTGGAGTGCGGGTCTCTTTGGTAATGACTCGTGAGCAGTTTTATTTGAGGATCCTGAGGAGCATTAACTCTTTATGGAAAAAAAATAATAACAAAATTTTGAAAATAATAAAAAGTATCAGCTGGTTCCCTTCATTGTCCGATTTTGTCTTCCGGTTTGCTCCGGATGGAGAAAAGTTGAGGCGGCGGCATTTTGAGGGCATACTCACACTAGGACTGTTTTACTTGTTTGTGGCCGTAATTGCCGTCAGATACATCCAGGGCCGGCCATAAATGCGGTAACTTAAAGATAGCGTGAGTACAGCCGGAGAGCAATAGGGGCTGGTGCTAACGGTTCAGAATTTCTCTCTTCATTGATTGATTTTTCTTTCGCTTGCTCGAGATCATGGTGGCAAGAAGGGCTTGGCCAATGATAATGATTAAATGATCATAATAGTGATTATAATTAAATGAAATTAAATGATAAACGATAACATTACTGGTTATAGTAATTGAGGAGGACGAGCAGAGAAAGATAATCAGGAAGAGGACAAATGAGGCAAACAAAGCAAGAAGGACGAAGATATAGAAGAACAAGGAGGAGGAGGGGAAAGAGAAGGAAGAGAGGAGTGTTAAGTTAGGAGGAGGAGGAGGAGCAGGAGGAGGGGAGGAGGAGGACGACGAGGAGGAGGAGGATGCAGGGAAAGAGAAGGAACAGGAGAAGGAACACATAAGTGTATACTAAGGAGGTTGTAATTATAATAAAAGACGTCTTGTAACTGTAATAAGAGTATAATACATACTATATAATTACATATAATACTAAGTTTACTAACCAGTAAAATAATAATAATAGTAAAATAATAATAATAATAGTAATAATAATAATATAATAATTTTATATAATTTCCGATCGCAATTCTCCTGAAAATGGACGTGACTTCTTAGCCTAACGGTGGACATACTGCACATCAACGGTTCCTTCTTTTTTTTTTTTTTTTTTTTTTGGTGCTCCGATTGAACACGGATCAGATATTAAACTGTTCAGAACAGATACATTTGACTCGCTCGAGATATGAAAAGAAGTTGTATTAGGAAAAAAAAGGGGTATCAGCACCACTAACACTGGTGGGGGTGTTTTGTTTAAAAAAAAAAAAAAGGGGTCCTGATGGGTGTTGCCTAACTTGCCTGCCTCTAGCGGGAGTGTGCAGCACTGGGGGCTGCAGGCTTCCCCCGAATACAACGTACGGTCATTATAGCTGAATGTGGTCTATCTTTCCGTCTAAATTCAGTTATAATGAACCTTACGTCGTATTCGGGGGAAGACTGTAGTCCCACTGGTTGACTTTCCCCAACGCCCGAATCTGGACGTTTTTGTGGAGCCTCAACGGCCGAATCTGGACGTTTTTGTAGCGACGGGGGGTTGAGGAAACTCAACGCGATTTTCTGCACATCTCTGCAAACACGTCCAGATTCGGGCGTTGAGGAAACTGAACCCTGCAAGTGGGACTTGGCCCAGATGTCTGATTGATAAGATCGAGGTGATATTCCACTGCCATTATGCGATACCATCTTCACTCGAATTTCTGGGGTTTTCATAGCTGTATTTGGGCCAACTTTCAGTCCAGATGCAGGGATAATGACCAGGCGTTCTATTCGGGTGAAGACGGTAGAGGCAAAAGAACCAGCTCACATATGAAGTATAAGTTCGGCCAGTTGAAAAAAAAAAAGGTAGAAAAAAGTTCGGCGGGTTCATTATCAGCCCTCAAGATGACGGATCTCCACGACTGACAATTAATAAACTGACAAAAAAAAACAATACCCACTAATACAGTCTTAATTGGCTCTTTCTTTCATCATCTGAGCTTGTCCTCAGGGCCCGGGTCCCACCTGCGCCTTATCGTGGTAGCTGCCCACCACGGTGCGACGGGGTGTTGCGCGGGAAAATCGTTCGCTTCTTTCGGCAGTCTCATGGCATCGAAATACGATGGCCTTTTTTTTTATAGGTGAAAGCACTTGGACCTCTTTCTCAGTGGCGTTCGTAGTCCATTGGTCGTGTTCATGGTCAGGTTTTATGTTTTCCATTCGGAGTTGTCGTGGCTGACTTGGGCATCGGACGGATTTTTTTTTTTTTTGGGGGGGGGGTGSGGAAATCGGACGGATATATCGCGTCCAGTCTGGCAGGGTTGTCGGCGCGTTATTTGGAAATCTTGTCTGCGCACGTTGGAGTGTTTGTGAACGTGAGGAGGGTCCACATTCCTGCAGTCCTGAGGTGGGGTTACAGCCAGACGTTGCCTTTTGTTTTATAGAAGGGGGAGGGTTCGATTCTCTCACGGTGGTGTTCTCAGGGACGGCATATGCACATTGGGGAACCGCCGGGGCTAGGTTCCACTAGCACGAATTAAGAGATATTGACCGTAGATAGCCAACATAAACGGCCGAAATGTCAGGTACATGAAATGATCAGCAGGACCGAGGGCGACATCGCACTTTCACATGGCACATCTTCGTTCCTGAGGACTCTGCCAAGAGATGGCACATCTTCGTTCCTGAGGACTCTGCCAAGAGGCGCGATTATAAGTGATGTATGAACCCAGTTCATGTTGGGCTCAAATTCCATACACAATAGAACACTGCAATGTGTGACGGGTAGCGATGTCATTTGCATGTGGAAGATGGTGTAGCGCAGGTATCCGCACTTTGAACATACCCAGGATCCACGCCGGTATGGTCGTTATGGGCACTGCGAAGCCACGCAACAAGCATGACATAAATTGTTCCTGCTCAGTAGGCAGTGGCGGTGTAGCCAGACAGCACGCATGACATCAAGCGTGCTCGGCAGGCTCACCCTTATATAAAATCGATGACTCGCGCCATACACAGACCAGTGCCTCCGATTATGTATGTACAGTCACTCCACAGAACGAGGCACCCATTGTTTAACCCTGGTGCAGAGTGAGGAGCTCGTAAGTTAAGACAAGGTCGAATTGCAGACTGCTGGCGCACAAACACAGAGTGACAGAGACATCCCTTGTGTGTGTGTGTGTGTGTGTGTGTGTGTGTGTGTGTGTGTGTGTTTGTGTGTGTGTGTGTGTGTGTGAGAGAGAGAGAGAGAGAGAGAGAGAGA